TTGCCTTATGTACAAGATAAGTAGCACTTCTACTATCTTTGAAAGGAACGAAACCATAATGCTTGGGATGAAGTTTTCTTTCCTAAGTTAAATAGTAAAAATCCTATTAGCCAAAATTCTCTCAAAAGTTTTTGAAAATACAGAAGTCAGAGTATTGGTCTGTAGGAAGATACCTTAGTTTTATCTTTTCATGGTTTCGGAATCGGGAGAATGATTGCATGCTTCCAAGAATCTGGAACGATTGCATTATCAAATAATTTTTGAAAATATCTTAAAATTACATCACGTTGACCCTGATCAAGATTTTTTAAAAAAATTTGCTGTAATATGATCAGCCCCAGGAGTTGTGTCTTTTGAATTTTTTATTGCACTATGCAATGCAGGAATATGGAATGGTTTATAAAGAAGGTTATTTTTGTCGCAAAGAAAATCCAAAGGAAGTGGTTCAAGATAGGCATTTTTAGATGCAAAATAATCTGCAAACATATCTGCTTGAAATTGAGGATGAGTGATAAACCTATTATTAAGCTGAAGAATATTAAGTTTTTGATCAGTGTCAGTAACTGTGGAAAATGTTTTCAGAATATTAAAAAGCATCTTGGGATTAGAAATATTATTGCATATCTTGTCCCAGTACATTCTTTTGGCATTTTTAATGTAGAATCTAAGTTTGCTCGCATATTGTTTATATCTGATCCATAATTCAGATGAAATTTCTGTGATAGCTCTCTTCCTAAATATTTTTTTAATCTTATAGAATTTACACTTTCCATAAATTAAGGATAATGAAGTTCAAGCAAAGAAAGAGACAAACGCAAAACAAATTTGACTTATTTGTAAAATCTATTTATTAGACGAAAGGTAAAGAGCAAAAAAGATGCTATATGTTTGACATAATTAATAAAAATAGCGATTTTTACTCCCCGGAGCAAATTTCAAAAAAGAACCTATTTACAAAAAAACAGTATAACATGGTTTGTATGATGGTTAATACGGAGTATGTCTCCCGGACGATGTAATAAAGGCCTTACAACGCCTAGGCATGCTGAGTATCAAGTTATCAATCTGATCTTGGGGAATATTACACCACTCATCAAGCAATGCCCTCCGAAGTTCCGGTAGACAGGTGGGAGGGGGTTGACGGGCTGCAATTCGTCGGCCAAGCATACCCCACACATGCTCTTTTGGATTCAAGTCCGGTGAGTATGCTGGCCAATCCATACGGGTGATATCCTCCGATTGAAGGCATTCGTCTACAATGTTTGCACGGTGAGGACGGGAGTTGTCATCCATAAACAGAAATTCAGCACCCATGGCACCCCGAAACAAACGTACATGTTGTTCCAGAATGACATCCCGATAGAAGTGGCCTGTCATCGTTACACTCTGAACATGCAGGTCAGTTCTGGAACCAAGAATAATTCCTTCCCAAACGAGCCATCCTGCACCACCGTAACGGTGTCGTTCAATGGTGTTCTCTTGGTGGTAACGGGTACCTTTCACTCTCCATATTAAAGTCCATCGAGAATCAGACTGCAAACTAAACCTGGACTCGTCGAAAAACATCACACAAGACCACTGTTGTGGTGTCCACAATGCATGTTGTCTACTCCAGGTTAATCGCAGGCTACAGTGAGTTGCGGTGAGTAGAACACATCTGACAGGCCTACGAGCATATAGACCAATGTGCCCTAAGCGTCTGTACACGATCTGCCGTGAAACTGTCGTACCGGTAGCTGAAGAGAGCTGACGAGACAGGTCTGATGCTTTGCTCCGTCTGTTTCTTTTGGCAGTAACTGCCAAATATATATACCGGTCCACATTCGGCGTTGTAACTCGGGGGCGACCTGTGCTGTAACATTTACTCACATTACCATCATCTTGGAATCGTTGCTAAAGCCTGGCGATGACACTCTGGGCGATTTCAAGTTCCTCGGATACTTCCAGATGGGTGCGTCCACATTCCAGTCGTCCAATAATTCTATCACGTAAAAAATCATCCACAAATGCTTCTGTTTACTACACTCCTCACTTAACTGTAACTGAGTGCGCCATACTTTCCCGCTTTCCTACCCCAACGGAAACTTTTGAACCCCGTACCGGGACATTCTGTAAAACTGGAAACGCAACGGACAGACGCAAGGTTTTGTCCGCATCAATCCGCAGCACCTTCAAAGGTGTAATTTTCATTTAACCCCATTACTACTGTAATGTACCTCCCCTTGGGAGTACATCCCTCGAAGCATCAGCGTGAGCTAGAGGTGTAGGGTCAACGAAAGAACTAGAATCAAACATTATCTTAATATGACTTAAGATATTCAACTTAAACCTTGAACAAATATAATATTAATAATTAATGAGAGAACCTGCGATGAGAGACGCAATACGCAACACACAATATAATACTGGATTACTGGGCTCGAACTCGTGACAAGGCAAGCCACGATCCGATACCTATACCACTCGATTACCGCGGCCACATATTTTCGGGGCAATTTAATGAATTAGCAGGGGGATCACCTTTTTAATTTATGCATCTTGAGTTACTAGAACATTGTCCAGAATGCGAAACACCACAGTTGATACATATTGCAGTTTTTTGGCAAAATCTAGCAGAATGAAGAAAACTAAAACAATTTTGTACATTGTCTGGGTTTATCTATGAAATTTTGAATTCGATGATTCATGAACCACAGTTTTATAGTTTCCGGTAAAGTTGTCCCGAGCAGTGGCGCACACAGGATTTTTTCAGAGGGGGTCCGGGGTCGAAAGTTCACCATTCTTGTATCATGCTCCTTTTGATTTTGTCGATTTTCGGGAACAAAAGTCTGTAAAAAACTAATTATTGAATAAATAATTAGCATTAATTAATAAAATTAATCATTAATAACAAATACTTAATTAAATTTTACCTACTATGTACTTAGAATTATAATCAATCGGAAAAAAAATCAAGGGCTTTGGGGAGGGGTCCGGACCCCAGGACCCCCCTTGTGCGCCACTGGTCCCGAGTATTGTAATTAATATTGGTGAGAATTGTTGCTGAGAACCAGTTTTAATAAATCTCCTCATCTCTAGTATATCAAAATCATTGGTTTCTTTTGCAGTTCCTTTGCTATCTCATTCAGAGATATATCAAGTGGAATTTCATAAATAAGGAATCTAGACGTGATTCCCTCCCAAAGAATATTCGTCTTAACTGACACATTTAAAATTTTCTCAAGAGATAGAATTTGTGCTGCACATACTGGGTCTAGCATAGAGAATCTTATCTTTCCATTACGAGTAAAAGTCATACTTTTTATGTTCTCATATATGACGAGCAATTTTTTTCTTTATTTCTGCATGTAAAGGCTGTGGGTTGGACTTTGGAATCTGAGAGGATCCTTGACTATTTTCTACTAAAATATTGATTTCGGATATAATTCTTTTTCCAGCTCGTAAAATAATTTCCGCATCCCTCACAGAAGTTCTGAAAATTTTTGAAAATCCTGTTTCCATTGTTAAACTATTAGTGACTAAGGGTTGTTCAACATCGGAGACGATAAATCTAGAGTGACTCAGCTTGAATTTTTTTTCAAATAAAAAAAATCAGAGAAAAATAGAAATTGGAAAATTACCAAAAAACTAAACCAAAAATAGGGGGGAAAACCCCTCTTGCTCTGAAAAGGGAACCAAATAAAAAAAGAAAGATAGAATTAAATCAACCTTTTGACTTGAGGAAATTAACACACCACTTTCAACCGACCACGCCCTATTCTCCTGCCACTTGTTGAAATTGAATACCAAAACTTTGAATCAAGTTTTCACATTGCCAGATTCAAGAAGCTACTAACTTGAAAATAATGCAATTGTTCATTTCATCCCTTGAGCTGATTTTGATTAGTTAATTTCATTGAAATGGAGTACATAATTTATGATTGCATAAAATAAATATGAATAAAAAAGGCTCAAAGATGCATTTTTTAAGACAATGTTCACAAAATTTAAAAGGATTTTGGTCAGATGCATGTAAGAGTTCTACTACAAAGTTTAAACTTTGAGAGCTGCAGCATTTAAAAAAAACTTTCCGTTCTTCAAAATATCTATAATTTTCAATACGTTCTTTACTGGAAGCAGCTAGATTTTTCCATATTTTCTTAAAAAAAAAAATTTTTTTTCGTAAAATAACATCACACGAAAGGCTGAGATCTAATCTACAATCACAACAAACGTGATATGAGAATTACTAAATAAATTTTTAAAACCACTTTATTTACTCACTTCCGAAACATGGCAAATACCACAAGAAGAATCTGTTGTTTGATTATGAAAAATTTGGGGTAAAAAGACTATTTCCATCATAAATCAATCAGCATTGTATTTTAGGTGAGTGATAACTAGTTACTGGCATCTCGTTCCAAACTTTTTAAAAATCGAATATATTTTTCAAAAACATTGTTTGGCATTCGCTTATGGTAACCTAGTCTACAATTTTGGCAACAATTTTTTTTTTTTTTTTTGGGGGATAATCTCTCCTTATGTTTTTAATATCCATTTGATTGTAACCATTCTTTTATTCTCGTAATTAAAAAAAGTATGCTTGAAAAAATTATTACTTAAAATAATGAATTTGCTCATTTTCTTCTTGTTAGAAGATTGATGATTTTCAGTCTAGATTCCCTTGCAAACCTAAACAATTCCTCACAGTATGAATATATCTTAAATGTTCCCCTTACTATTGCAACTTAAATTTTTAATTATTAAATCTACATTTTTAAGCTATTATGATTTATTTAACTTATATCTTCATTTGCTGTCGTTGTCGTGTGTTTATTACTGGGATACATACGAAAGACGTGAGATAAATTAACAGAAACATATAACACAACTATAGAGGAATACAGATTTTATTACAAACGATGATCCCATCAAAGAAAAGAAGAGGTACGCTGCTTTTCTTTCGAGACGGGAATCCATTTCAGGCGAAAGTCCGATTTCTTTTCCCGAAGATACATCCATGCCCTACACCGGATTCGAACCCACTCGATTACAAGCCGAGTGTCATAACCACCATACTCGGTAGGGCGGCATATATTCGCTTAATTTTGAATAATCGACTTTCTTGGCACAAAAACTTGTAAGGTTCTCTCATCCACGCCAAGAGATGTGGGAGGAAGGGAAGGAAGACTGGCTATGTCCAAAATTACTCAATTTATTTGTCACACAATCAACAACACAAGTTCAAGCAGTCAAAATTAAGAGATACACCCAATTGAAGCAACACGTAAGTAAATAACGATGTACGCGAAGTATGAGAAGACTTTAAATATCAGAAAACTTTTACTTCACAGGTTTCAATAGATATTACTTTCCTAGCTATCTAATCTCTAGTGATCAATCGTCACTTTAATAATTACAATTATCAAAAATCTGCGTTACACTATCAATTTGATTAATCTCTGAACTGCTAGTAATCTATCCTATCTCTCTTACTTTTTCTTTCACTCTTTAGCTTGAAAGCTTAGACTATGTATAGTAGACTTAATTTACATAATCACGTTCTCTTCTTCAGATGGTTCGTTGCAAATAAAATAGATTTAAAGGACCAAAGATTTCCCAAGAGAACTTGTTAGTCAGAAGGACGCGGATAGACTTTAGATCAGAGGATCCCAAACTTTTTGTCTCATAGACCCTTTGCCATGTTTTTTAGTTAGGGGGTAGACCCCTTCTTAATTAATATTGAATTTTAACAGTTGATATAGAGTTACTTTAAAAGACTTAAGTTTTTAGTTGTAATGAAGTAAAGTGTTTAAAACTTAAGAAACACATATTGCTTAGTTAAATTAAAATTTAATTTATATATAAATAACTGTTACATAAAATAACTTATCAACAAACAAATGCTTTTAATGGGAAGGATGAATCGGGTGCTTCAATAACAAATTTTCAACATTTGGCATCTCTCTCTCAATCTTGTCAGGTTTAACCCTAAATCTCATCGGTTAGTAGTGTCCAGCCATTTTCTTTTTTTCCTTTTGGTATTTTGGAGATTGGCATTCGCATTGAAACTCCTTCTTACTAGGAAATGCAATTATTTTTCTCACAATACTCCATAATTTGGAATAAATAACAAATATGTCATTTGTCATTTTAAAGCCGAAATTTTGTGGACATCCATTCCTAAACTTTACTTTAAGGCAACACAGTACCCTACAAATTTCAAATACACCGAATTTTTTTTTCATTTTTGTGGCTCATATCATTGGGAAGCTTTTTACCAAGTTTCAGATCATATAATGAATTAGTGTTTAAGATATTTGAAGTTTCCTAAGCTTAGGTGTTGGTTTCATTTTAAAGCGTTTTTTCACTCTTATGTTGAATTAATCAAAAATATTTTTAAGCTCAATCAACTCTTTCAGTGGGAAGTGGTTATTAATTTCAATTTTCATTACAAAATAATTTCTGCTTGATTATATGTTCTGAGTTTTTTGAGTTCACATAATTACTTAACTAAAATTGAATTCAAGGCCAATTTTTGTTTAAAAAAATAGTTTATTATAACTTAGAATCTGTAAAGGACAGTTTTTGTGGAGATTTTCCCTCACTAGATGGCTGCACCTGTCAGCTGTTTCCGAATCAGCGGAACAGGTGGTATGGTGTAAGACAGTCCAAATTAATTCTATTCTAATAAATGTTAAACTTAAATAATAATTGTTAAACTTATTTTATATAAATGCACTTAATTTCTGTTAATTTTTAAAATGATCCTCATAATTTATATTTCAGTTTTATACTTTTACTTGTGTAACTATCGATTATACATATGCTTAACTGTAACGAAACTGTATTTTTGTAAAGCGTGGTATTTTTATACAAAGTTTTACAGGAGTGGATCAAGACAGCGCTAATACACCCAGATAGTATTTTTTAATGCAGTGCTAGCGCCATCTGCTACGAAATATGGAAACTAAAACAATTGAATAGTCTTGCTATTTTTGTATCGCTGTATTAGTCGAACGATTTTTGCTGAAGTTCTTTTGCATCTTATTTACATTTTTACTTTTGGTTTCCTGTTTTTTTTTTGCTTTATTTTGTTAATTGTTTTATTATCTTTCTTGTTATTTTAATTAGTCAATATGTTTTTTAATTTTCTGTAAACAATTTTTTGCATACTTATTGTTTTCTGAAATGAATGTGCATAGCAGAAACTTAATCTGCTCATTTTGTAATCAAGTCTTCACTGGCCCTTTCTGTTTGAAAAGGCATTTAAAAATGTTCATGATCACCAACAGTGTGATGTAAATGGAGAGATTTTGAAGGAATTCAATACTTTCAGTGATATGAATAGTTGCATTAAAAAAAATTAGCTTATAAATTTTCACTGTAGTAGACAGAATTTTATAACGTTTAAATGTTTTCTACTGAAGTTTGCGTGATTTTATATTAATAAATGTAAAACTTCTATTAATTAACACTATAGAATTTGTTACATGGAAAGAAGAAGGAAACAAGACCATGTCAAAATATGTTAGACAGCGAGGTTGTAAAAAACTTAAAAATGGAGACATAGGGATGAATTATTACTGTTGTTGAAGTGGGACATGCAAACCAAAAGAGAAAGGTCTCAAGAATTTAAAGTCTCAAGGCTCTGTCAAAATTGGAATTAGTTGCCCAGCAGTAATAAAAGTTAGACAGAGTACTGAAAATGTAGTAGTGCAGTATTTCCCGAAGCATCAAAATCATTAAACTCAATTGGAGCATTTAAGGTTATCAGAGTCTGATAGGACAAATATTGCTGCTATAGTATTTTATTTATATTAGAGTTTCATTGTTCTTAATTTTATTATTATTAGTTACTATTATTAGTTTTGTTTATTTATTTTCAGGGAGATTAAAAGAAGGTGTTAGTGAAAAAAAACTTGCAGGATATTAGAGAAGAAATTACTGTTGACATTGGCAGAAAGATGATTATTGAAAAAAAAGGATATCCATAATATTAAAAAGGACTTCAATATTAAAAAGGCATGAAGTTGATGCAGTGAGAGTCAAGCTATGAGCTCAAGAAATGAAAGAATAATGGAGAAAGTTGTATTGTTTTTTTTTCAAAGAGCAGGGACAATCAGGGAATGACTATTGTTTAAAAGATGAAGATTTTGTCCTCGTAATCATGACAGATTTTCAGAAAGAAATGTTTACAAAATATGAAAAGGACAAAATTTGTTTTGATGGAACACATGGGCTAAACAGCTATGATTTTAATCTATACTCAGTTCTGGTAGTTGATGAACATAAAAATGGAATACCTGTGGCATTTTGTTTTTCCAGCAGAAGTTCTGAAGATGTATTCAGAATTTATTTTAGTGCCATATTAAAAGTGCTGTGGGTAAAATCGAAACTACAACATTTCTGACTGATGATGCTCCAGTATTCTATAATACTTGGAGTTATGTGATGGCCACAGTTAAAAATGTCTTATTGTGTGCTTGGCATGTCACAAGAAATTGGCACCAAAATTTAAACAAAATTAAAAATCCTGAAAAGAGAAAAATTGTTAATAAAGCATTAAAGGCAGTGAAAGATGAACTATGTTTAGAAACATTTTCCAACCTAAAGAAGCAATTCATAGAAGACTTATTAAATGTGACCCAGGCACTTCTGAATTCGGAAAATATTTCCAGCAAAATTATGCTCAGAGACCTGAAAAATGGGGCCTATTGTTACAGAAAGAGTCTGGGCATAAATACAAAAATTTATTTGGAGTCCATTCATAAAAAAATTAAGTACCATTATTTTGATGGAAAATATGTCAAGATTAGATGTTGCAATAGATGGTCTCTTAAAACTTGTAAGAGACTTAATATTTCAACGTTTAATAAAAATTTCAAACCCCCATTTCCTCTGATAAATTATCAAAAATTGTCAATAGCCACAGATTAAGTCTAGAGATTCAAAGCAATAGAATTGAAAAATTAACAGATAACAAGTGGAAAATTGAATCTAATCATTCCAACTATTTAATATGCAAGAAAGAAGAAGAATGTCATAGATTATGCAACATTAAATGTACTGCCTTCAAAATTTGTATTCATTCCTATACATGCACTTATGTAGAGAGCTTAATAAAAGGAAATATTTGCAAGCACATTCATAAAGTTGCCCAAATGTTTTTAAATGATGATAAACATAATAAAGAAAGACAAGAAATTTATTTAAATTAAAATGATATTTTAAAATAAACACATTCAATGTTTTACCGTGTAGCTCTAAAACTGCTAATAATGATGGCAGTGAATCCAAAAAAAGAAAAATTGAAAGCATTCTTGCTCTTATTGATGAACACGAGTGTACACCAGAAGAAGAAAGTAAAATTCGCAGGAACCTAGATAGTATATTAAATATTTTCTATAACAAAAGGAGCACAATAATAAAATAATTAAAATGATGGAATCCTCGATTGTAAATATAAAAAAAAAGAAGATTGAAAAACAACCTGGATATTTCTCTACACGAAGAAAAAGATGCACTGCCAGTATACTCAAAAATCCAACTACTGAAGAAGTAAATAATATTAAAGAAGGATTACTGTTGAATTCACAAGAAATTACATCCATCAATACAGATTTTGATCATACTTATTGCAATCAAAATAAATAATTTCTAACTGGTGGTTCCTGTGCTTAGTTTAGTTAATAAATAAGATTTATTTATTTTCATTTTGATGTGTGATTCTTTATTCTTTCAAGTATACACATTTAACTACTGGCATAAATATGCAATTAAAGTATATGATATCATGGTGATTACATTTTATCTCAATATATTATAATGTGTGTGATGAAAAGAAAATAGCTTAAATGTTATTTTCATATAATATTAATACACGTACATATATATGTATTAATCTTATATTATATTGAGAAAGAGTTATTCTTAAAGAATATACTATTAAAAATTTACTTGATAAGTTGACATATTGCCTAATTCTTTTGAAAAAAAAAATAGAATCTAAACCTAGGTGAACTAATTTACATGTTATATATATATATATAAATTAAGGTTTTATATTTCTAATATATTTTATATATA